AATGGAGGAAACCAATTCAAAATTCCTCATATGGGAAAAAGTAAGTTGGCCAGACAAGGAATACTACCACAGAATTTGGGAGTAAGCACAGAAGTGTATGAGAATGCACAAAAGTTCTTAGAGGAACATATGTAAGTACTTAATGATTAAGTACTTTTTTGTTGTGTGTGCAAAGATGGTCAAGGGAAGGTACAATATCTATATGTACTTCCAAGTGAACCTTTTGCACATTCTTTTTGCTTTTTGTTGGCCTAGAATGCCATTTTTTGCTTTTTGTAAAAGTATATCATATTCTGATCAAGTGTAGCATATAATAGGGACTGCACATTTTTTGTTTTTTGTAAAAGTATATCATATTCTGATCAAGTGTAGCATACAATAGGGACTGCACATTTTTTGCTTTTTGTAAAAGTATATCATGAAGTGTATCAAGTGCACCAAAGTTTTATTGGAATGAAGTGTATCAAGTGCAGCAAATGTATCAGATAGAGGCAACAAATAAAATCAGACAGAGGCAAGTGTTCAATTGTAGTAAATGAACTAGAGAAATAGACAGAGGCAACACAATCAAGTATAGGACCTGCCCTAAGCATTGTTCTTTAGAAAATATTTTAGGAGTCAAGTGTAGTAAATGAACCAGAGAAATAGATAGAGGCAATAGAATCAAGTGTAGGACTTGCCCTAATCAGGTGTTGTAAATGAACCAGAGAATTAGAAAGAGGCAACCCATGTTGTAATCAAGTGTAGGACCTGCCCTAAGTCCATGTTAAGTGTAAAGCAAAATATTATAGCAAGTGGAGTACTCAACTGCCCATATGTTTCAAACAGGGATTACATTCACCCAATTCACCATCAAACCCCAAATTTTCACCACCAAGCCCCTCTCACAGAATAAACAATATGGTAGACCAGACCAATACAGTGTTGTAAGTCTCCAACCCATAGGGGGTGACATTACAATATAGCTAAACCCAAAAAAAGCTCACAGACTTCCAACCATTCACACAAAGTTTGTTTGCATCATAAGTTTGCCAATAAACATTATACAGAGTATATAATGGGACATGCAAGTACTAATCGAATGTGAATCTAAAGAGGAAGAACATAATACTCTGTCTGTAACGCAGTGCTTTAGCCTCATCCCCATAGGGCTCAGATAAAATTATTTCTGTATCAGACATCTCCAAGATCTGGGCAGAAGTTACTGATTCCCCATCTTCCCCATCAGATTCGACACTGCCTCCTTCATCCTCAGACGGAAAAATGTCACCCCCCAAATATATTTTCCGATACCACCACGTCGGATCTGTATCATCCGTGCCAGATGCGCTATCACCAAAGTCGTAAGGAGGTATCAGTGATTTTTTAGATTTAGGAGGTGGCTGGGGAGATGCCCTTTCATCTTCGCTATCGCTTAAAAGCTTGAAGGAGGGCATGGTAGGATCGCGACCCACCATTTTTGGTGAATTCTTGAGGGTGCCGGCGGCGATGGGGAAGAGGAACATCAGCCACAGAGAGAGCTAGGGATAGAGGAGAGAAGATGAATGGATGAGGGGATGCGTAAGAGAGAGGATGAATGGATGGTGGGTGGGGTAAGAGGGTGGGGGGTAGAAATTAGGTTTAAGGGTAGGAATGTCATTTTTAGGCAAATGTGTAAATGTTTGTGGGACAAAAATTTTATGAAAAGGGTAAATCTTTATGGGACGAAGGGAGTATATAATATTTCATATGAGATTAAATTTGGGCATACAAGAAAATATGATCCATATGTGCCCACATAGTAATTGCTACATACTATTTAGTCAATGAATCAGAATCTTTTACAACTTAAGTTTCTGTCTAGTTTTGACTTTTTGCAGTTAAAATTGTCAAATAATGATCATTAATAAACTAAAATTGATTATATATAATGATATAAAAATAATTTTATTAATTAGATTTACATTTAAAAAATATTTTCAAAAATATGTTAATCTAATTAGTACACCATATAATTTTTATTTAATTATAGGTCAAATTTTTATTGTGGTTGACTTTGAAGTATCAAAAAAATGGACAAATACTCAAGGAGAAAGGTAGTAACAAGTTACTCTCTTCTCCCATTTTTATTTTTTTGATAATTGTAAATAAACTCATTTTTTAAAATTTCATATAAAAAATCGTAACAAATGTGTTATAAACATATATTTCTGGACATGCAAGGAACTGATGGATTAAATTTTCTGGAAAGGGTTAGGCTAAAAGCACAATTGTTTGCGAGTGGGTCATTGTAAAGAACTAGTGTCATCGGTTGATACCAAATTAATCCGAGTGTGAGTGAAACCGCTCTGTGTGTGATGTATCATATATAGGAAAATCATTATGTTTTAGTCCTATTTAGTCCAAATTTCACATCATATATATTGTGCAAGTAAAATAAGAATATTTAGAAAAAATGTTAATATATTTATAGAAACCTTTTACGCGATTTACAAAACATATAGTCGAGAGAAATCAAATGAAGATCAAGCTAAGACTATACCATTGATCAGTGTATGCATGGATGGTAGCAAAGTCTATCTCATTAATAAGATGGTTGCTTATGAAATCAGTCCCAACTTGATAACCAGGGTTATATATATTTCTCCCTTTCGGGCAATGAATCTCCATAAAACCCTTCCATTCCTATCCGATCTCTAGGAGGTGACGGCCATCCAGTGATTTTACATGACTCGCTATTTCTTGAACCCAACCCTGGTGTCAAAGTCAATTACCAAGTCACCCATTAAAAACAAATCAAATAAACACTTAAGAAAGTATAACAATTAAAACTGATGGGTCATGCTAGGGTGCCACCACATGCATGGATGCTACCATGGGTGCACTCATGCTTTTCTCAGATGGCACAGATGGTAATCATCTCTGAGATACAAATGATAATCATCTGTGCAAAGTATGAGTGCACCAATGATAGAATTCATGTGGTGGCACCCAAGCATTTTTCTAAACTGATGTCATATCAAATGTAATGATGATTTAATTACTTACGTTTAGAGTCTTTCCAGAATAGTCTTCCTGGCAACGAGGTTCATTCATGAGTTCCCATGCCATGATGGTTGAATCATCCTTGTAAGCTATTCCCGTGACCGTGTTTATTCTTGTTATAATTTTCTGAAAGATTTCATTTCCAAAAATTTATATCTACACACACATAATAAATGTATAGTAACAAAATTAAATATGTTTAACTAAATTTAATACATTTATTTAATGTACCTTGATATGGTTTTTGAAATAACCTATAAGAACTGGATGAGTGTAGAAAGAATCTTCATTGTCAATTTGTACACCTCTATCTCTTGCCCAGTTTGCATATTGCGCTTTCCCTACAAAGTCATACCAATTATTGACAAAGCACAATATCAAACGGATCCCATATTTCCTTGCTTCCGATACCACAAAATCAAGTCCCTAAAGGCATATAATAATCCACATAATATGATTGTTCATTAACAATGCGTAAAAAGATATCATTGTTTTATTATTTAAATAATATATATTCCCTCAGCCCGGAAATATTCTTCCCATTTGACTTTTTACGGTCTCCAAGATTGTACTTTGACCACTAATATCTTTATTTATGTATGGAAATATTTTATAAAAAATTGATTTTTGAAAACTATATTTCAAAGGGAATTTATTCATATTAAAGTTATATCGTAATACAATGTATTTTTTCCACATATCATAGTCAAAGTTTACAAATTTTGACCAAGAAAAGTTAAATGAGAAGAATATTTTCGTACGGAGGGAGTATAAAGGAGAGGGTTATAACTTGAAAAACCCGTTCGTCATAAACACCGGGCGATGTTTGCAGCGCATTGTATTGGCTTCCATCACTCAATGCTCATGTTCGGCAAACAGATAGTCCGACATCAAAAGCATCCTCAAGAACCTCTGTGACTTTGTACGTACCTTTGATCGACGTCACTTGCAAGTTGCAACATGCATCAACCAGTATGAATTGAATCCATTAAATAGAAACGGGGATCCATTGAGTTCAAAATGATCATTATTTCTTGTAATCCAACCATTGTCGTCCCTTAGCTCGCCCAAAGAATGGGCGAGTTCTGCCATGGCTTGCGGTTGGGTAGAAATGACACTGGCAGTGGAAGGATTTTCAGGCAGGACGATGGAGTAACCATCGTCCCATCCACCCATTCCTTGTGCCATTAGCTGCCACACAATGCTTCCAGCCATCACCCCATTGTCTTTGGCAAGACTATAAGTCACCCCATACACTTTAGCTAAGAAGGAATCTCGAACTGTGACGTTGAATCCTCCATTTCGGCTAGACTTTCCAAATTCACCCAATACTAAGGGTTTGTTGAGAATGTACGTCCTTTGCATCTTGCCAATGACTGCTCATCCATTTCTCTATGAATACCATTCATCCTCGTTTTCGATCTCCCGGTACCTTAGAAAAATACAGTGTGAGAAATATTTCACGTACAGTTAACATGTTATTATTGTCTTATTGAGTACAAGTTAACAATACACTCTATATTATAAATGCTTTTAAAAGTTACAATAACTTGGTCACAATTCCTAGAGTCAAAATAAGATATCAATAAAAACCAAATTCTTAAAATCTACTCCGTATAAATTAATAAACTCCTACAACGTCATTTTTTGTAGCATTTTGTAAAGAATAAAAGGAACCCGAAGTACCTCCAAAACAATAGTTTGAATACTATTTTACAATACTCCCTCTGCTCCTTTCAATCTTCTCTCTTTAACTTTCAAGGTTAAGTTTTCTAAACTTTGATTACGAATTATGAAAAAATGCATTGAGTTGTGATAAAAATTTAATATCAATATATTCATTTTAAAGTATACTGTGTAGTTTTGGAATATTACATTTTATACTTGTAATATATATCTATCTACAAATAAAAATATTCCGCTTATGCTCAAAGTGTTGCATTGAATACCGTGAAAAGTTAACTGAAAAAGATTCAAAATCAACGGAGGAATTGAAGTATATTCTCAAAGATAGAAAATGTTGATGCTATTTTTGATTTGATTGTCTTTTTTATTTCTAAGCTAATACTCTGTGTAAGAGTTCATTATATTATTACTACATAGTACCTACGTCATTTGTCTACATTTGATTTTTTTTGTCAAAATTAGCAAATTGTGACTAAAAATTAAATAAAAGTCATATTATATATTAATAAAAAAAATTATTAGATTTATTATATAAAATATATTTTCAAAATAATATTTTATCTAATTAACATACCATGAATGTTTTATTAATCATAGATCAAAGATTGAAAATTATTGACTGTAAAAACTCAAAATTAGACAAATATTCAGAGACGTATATAATATAAAATCAATTAATCTTGTAACAAATAAATTTAAAGTTGAAATTCTTGGAGTGTTATACACTACCATTGATTAGCATAGACATGGATGCTTGCGAAGTCAACTTCTTGTATAAGATGGTTCGTTGCTAATGAAATCAGTCCCAACTTGATAGCCCGGATTGAATTGCTTCCTTTCCGTGATAGAATCACCATATATAAAAGCCTTCCATTCCTATTTCTAATAGGTGTTTGTTATCTATTTTCTTCACAAAGCTTGCAATTTCTTGAACCCATATTCCTGCCAGCTGAGTAATCCTTTTGGCAACGTGGCTCATTCATTAGTTCCCCGGTCCCAAGCCATGATAGTCATGTCGTCCATGTAAGTAGTTCCAGTAATTGTGTTTATCCTTGTAACAATTTTCTGCAAATAAATGGTAAAAAAAGCTCGTTTTAAAGAGACAACGATTAAATGAAGACATGCATATATGAATCAAAGATTTGATTTAATTAATTTAAATGTATATATTTTTCATGCCTGGATATGGTTCTTGTAATATTCAATGGGGACTGGATGAGTGAAGAAATCATCATCACTATAAACCGGTGCTCCAGCATCCCTAGCCCATTGTACATATTGTGCTTTGCCTCCAAAGTCATTCCAGTTGTTCACAAAGCTCAATATCAAGCGAACCCCATATTCTCTAGCTTCCGAAACCACAAAATCCATCCCCTACAATAAAACAATATGTGAATATGACCATGCAAGTTTATGTTCAAGATTTTAAAATTGTTGGGATTTTAAGCGCGTAAGATACCGAAAAATATTGAGAACACTAGAAAAATAAGAGAACAAACACAAGAAGAATATATGAGAGAAAAAATTATATTTCTACTATTTCAGGACAATATACAAAAAAAACTCTCCCTGTTTACAAGTGCTAAATATCAGATACTTATAAACAGACTTTTCACACCCTACACCCGGATGTATTTTTCTGAGTAACTAAAACTAGTTACTCCCTACACTCACTCACACAATGTTGGTGATATCTTGTGTAGACCTCTCTCTTAACCTTCCTCTTTTTCCTTAGCCGTGTGTATTCTTACTAAGAAGACCATGCATGGCTTTTAAAGCCAAGGGAAGTACTTCTGCAAATGACCACAAGCACAAGAATCCAAAATTTGATTCCCTTCCATCAAAAAAATCCACACGCAATTTGATTCCTTTGATTTCTTTCTTTTCTTTTTTTTTTGTTTCTTTTGATTATTTAATCAAATATCCCAACAAACTCCACCTTGATTAATTAATCAAACCATGGTCCGGCTCCACCCCGCTCGTTCCGGCGAGGTCACAGTCTCCACCCACTTGAGAAGCTTCAAATGTCACCCGCTTTTTCCATGCAAATGCTCCGCTCGTTGCACTTGTAAATTTTCCTTCTGACAACTTCCGTGTCAAATCTTTTCCTACAAGTTTATACAAGTCCTTTGACAAAACTCCTTTTGCTACCACCATTGCTCCCCTTGAAATTTTTAACACTCCACTTTGAGCAAAAATTCGGCAGCCTTTTGAATCTAAAGCCCCCAATGAAATCAAATTTCCTTTTAGACCTGGTACATGTTTCACTCCAGTTAATGTTCTCACCATGCCATCAAACATGCGAACTTGCACTGTTCCGACCCCTGCAATTTTGCTCCGTGCACCATTTGCCATCTTCACAGCACCCCCATCACAAGTTTGATACGTATCAAA